GGCCTCTTTGCTATATCATATTCTTTTTGGTGGGAGTGCCGATGAAGCAAACGTATGTTTGCTATAGTAAACGACTACGTTACTTATATTCGTATGAGAGTAGGGTTTCGAGACTACCAGTAAATCAGTGTAATCAGATTTATTGCTTTGGCGGCTCGCTCTCTTCTTTCCTTAACAGAATCACTACGCGTTGCAAGAGACGGATTCGTCTCTTCCTAGCTTGCACATTCCCGTTCACAAGGAACAATGAAGTGATGACTTTAACTAACTTGTTGAGGTCAAGAAATATATTTATCTATTTATTTATGTGAGTGTGCCTTTGAATGTAAATCCTTAAATTACCTTAAGCGGCCTAGGACGATTAAGCTCTCATTTTATATCATTTCTGATAAAACTCTAAGAGCCCCGTCAGGCTGCTAGCCGACGAATCTATGATTACCCTTTAGGACTTAATACACTTTCAATTAATTTATTCGAGACACGGGTTGTTGTAGACCTTGAGTCTTTCCAAGAATGCGGCTGATCCACCTTTCAGTATAGTTTTGGGCATTCGACAAGTTACCAATCCGGCAAGTCGTGGACCATCAAAACTAGGAAACGCCTTATATGTGTATGGCTAGCCTGCGTTCACAACAAGTGTATACCAAAATAGATAAATAAGTCCTCCGACTTGGGGTTGCGGTCAACCAATTACATCCTTTCCTATTTCTTTTTCGCACGGTTGCTTATTAAGGACAGCATAGCTTGCTATAGGAAATTAATAAACTGTGGCCTTTTTAATCCCAGCTCAATATCCTGCCTCAGTTCACTCCAAATCTAGTACAGATAGCAGAGGTCCTCTAAAAGTTGTTGAAATACGAGGCATCTTGGTCCTCAAACATACCCGCAACTTTGACTCCTTCGCGTATTACATCATTTCTTTCTTTACTCATCCCCATTCCCCTGTTTTCTCCTCTTCCATTTATTATAATCTTCCTTCACTACTTATTCATCGAACTTTAGCTTCTGCTTCACCCACTTTATCTAACTCTTCTAATACTTTAATTTCACTTGCTTTCTTATTCCTCTCCTTTTTTTTCCTTCATCTCGTATTACTTATCGTTCGCTTTCTTCGCCTTATAATCATCCATACCCCCATGTCTTTCCACCCTGACTGCTTTTCCTGTTACATATCTCCTCTATTCTACTCTGTTTCTCTTGCTTCCCGTCCCACATTCTTTCCCTTTCTTTTCTAATTATTTTTATATCATTTATCCCTCCGTCTTCTTCTTATTTGAAGCCTACTTATCCATTTCATCTTATTATCCTCATTTTTATTCCCCTGCGGTCCTCATTTCCTTTTTCCTTCTTATTCTCCTACAACCCTTCTTACCCTTACATCTCTACCATTATTCTATTCATTTGCCAACTCTACCTCTTGCTTACCTTCCTTCCACATATTCTCCTCATATTTATCTGGCATCATTATCATTATCATCGGCATCATTATTATTATTCGGCCGATGTTATTACATTTTCCCCTTTCCATTTTTTCCTTTCTCCTATAATTTTCTTATTTTCTTATTATTGTCCATTTCCTTCATATTTGCTTCATCTTCCTTCGGCGTTTTTCATTCTCCTGTTTCTTCTGGTTCTGGTTCTGCCCCTCCTACTGCTTCTCCTTCATCCTACCTTCCTACCTACAATTTCCTCTTTTTCATATTCCTTTCCCTACTCCTCTTGGTTGTCAACTATTTTTCGTACCTTATTTTACTCTCAGCACGCATTCTAGTGGTTGTCGCGATCCTAGCACACCAGCTACTAATCGCATTTAGACATGCACACCCGTCTACCAGTACTCGATGTGATGCCAACCATTCGTCGTTTCAATACTAGACAGTGCATTTGGCGTATTTCCACCTCCCCCGAGCAAGAAGTTCTCTTGTCTTCTGTAGTAGAAAAGGCGGTAGCGTGAGCATGAGCATCGCTGACTAGGCCCGGAGTGTGGAGCAAATTTTGGGCTGTTGACGTCCGAATGAGTGGTTGGGGTATTAGGAGAAAGGGGTCCTTTGAAGGACACCCAAAACATTAGACCCATTTAACTTTACATCTGCACAACCCTCCTACTCTCCACTTTCATGTAACTAGTGCGTGCGGACTACTATGATACATGCTCCCACACTTACTGCATGGGTGTGATACTCGACGGCCGGCTTCGAGTGGGCTACCCGCAGGTGAGGGGGTCAAAAAAAACACGCACCCACGCAACAAAAAGACGACAAGTGGCTACATCTTGGCGCATTTTTGGCGGACCCGCCTGACTTTGAGTCCAACACTGTGCGTGTATATGTATGAGCATGTGTGTATGCGTATATGCGCGTATGTGTTTTCCAATTCGCGGATGTAGTACAGTAAATGGAAATTATGGGTTTGTAAATCGGGCTCCTCTGACGTGTGAGTAATCGCGTATGCATGCACACGCATGTGTGTATGTAAAACTGTATATGTAAGTGGCAAAGAGGGTGTGTGTGAAGCAGCCTGAAGGGTAAGATTGCCAACCGGCAGTTTGCGCATGTACAGAAGGGCGCGTGCAACCAGCACTTGTGCTGGACAGTTGAGTTGATGGGGTCGCGATTATATCAGAGCCTAGCAACTAGAAGTGCTGCTGCTCCCGCTACTGTCCGCTTTGCGAACAATGAGATTGTCTGGTGCCTTGGCCAGTTGGCATGAGAACAGAGGTGGGTGGGTGGAGGGGAGATAAAGGCAGGACGGAGGGTGGGAGTGAGTAAGCAGACGAGGGAGAGCAGAGTAAAGTGACAGACGACATGGCATCAATGGTCATGCCAGTGCTGATGCGCAATCGAGACTCAGACCAGGCCTGAGGAGAAGGGAATAGCGGCTGGGCAACCGCACAAATACTGCTCAGCCGACGCACGTGGCCGAAAGATTCTGACACGATGCTGGCGACAGTAACCGCGGCAATGAGTACTGCTCAGACGCACCAGAAGCACATTCCTATGCCTCTAGGAATTCTGTATGGTTGCGGGAACCTAGGGAAGAAGAGGAATGACCTACACAGGAGTGCGGCTTTGCCTGACCTCTCAGACATGAAGGCATAGGCAGCTGACGGGAGAGGCAATGCAAGCAAATGTAAGGGCGAGAGTAACATTTTCAATCCAGCCAGATGGCAACACATGCATAAATTGGCCGAAATCTAGAAAGGCATCAACTCATCACGAATTAAACCGAAGGCGGTTGGGAAGGAATTAGAGACTTATATGCGAATAGAGAGAAAGATAGATAGACTGAACAAATAGAAAACATACAATATAAAATAAAAGGGCCCAAGTTAGAAAGGAGAGAGAATAAGAGAGAAGCAAAGCAAGGCAATGAGAAAAGTAGAGCAGAGAAGAGGAGAAGAGAGGAGAAAGGAGAAGTGGAGAGCACTCCGAAGTTTGATCTCAACAGAATACCCCCTCAGCTGATTTCGCTTGACCAGTCGTTGTTTGCTTTACTGTAACTTATTTAAGATGCTATCTCTGGGGCAATTTCCTTTGGTTCATTTGAAAATTTGTTAAGCTTTCTTCCTTATTACGACGGACGCCATCAGAGTAAGGTATCCCTATTACAACCACATTCAAGCCAAATAGTCAAGTGTATTTACTTTCTGTATATATTCCCACATAAGCATTCTGTTGATGTATTAAGCGCATATAACTATACCTCTTTTCACGTGCTTATATTCCTTCCCATTTAAATATTTCCAAGAAACCTGCAGTGATGGCATAAAGTAATTGGAATAGAACCATAGTTACAATACAACGATCGAAATTTTACAATCAATGATAATTAGAATAATGAACTTAGTCGATATGGCCCATTATGATAGTAAGATAGATGGGCATAAATTAATATTGAAGAAAAACTGGATTTCTAATGAAATATTGTAGCATGACTCTCCATTTCGAAGAGAAAGTTGGTTGGAAGGGATTCGTTATGTGTTATCACCAGAAACTGAAAGAGGATTGTCACGTAAGGAAGACTGTTCAAATGTACGAAGAAGTCCTTGGCTCATTGTCCTGTGACCCCGATGAAACTGTGCTAAGCTTTCGTCTGTACTATGACAGACATCATTAGTGCAAGATTCCATACTTTTAGCCGAGAACTACATGACCCAATTAGAAGTTCACGCGTTTCAAGAGAAAACCCTAGTTCCCAAGTTATTAGTTCTCTATATGGACGATTATTTTGCTGTTTGGCAACACGGCAAAGATAGTTTGGGAGAATTACTTGAAATAATAAATAGAATAGATG